ATTGGTAATCAATGGCACTATAACTCCCCTCCACTTTAAAAAAAAAGCCCACAATCATTGTTGGTCAGTGGCACTTTAAAACCCCCAAAAAACAATCTAACAATCATTGGTGGTCAGTGACGCATTAACCCCCCCACAACAAAAAAACAATCTTACAATCATTGGTGGCCAGTGGAACCTTAACCCCACCCTAAAAACAATTTTACAATATTGGTGGTCAGTAGAACTTTACCCTTAAATACATTCCTGCAATCAATGGTGGAACTGTAAACACCTTGTACAGCTTATTCAAGCCACTTTTTTGGTTCAGTCTACTCCATTGACACCCAGCAAAATAAAACAAAGGCATATTCGGTACATCTCTGCAATACATGCACATTTCCCCATGTCTTATACCTTTAAAAATGGTGCAAGTAAAGAGCAGCATCTGCTAAGCTGCCAGAAATCCAGTGAGCTCCTAGCCTCCTGTGTAAGCTGACATTATTGCCACTGCTGCACTAAAATCCCAAGCAGTGTTGTCAGCCCTGCACAGTTCTCCCCCATTGGACCCATCTCGGTTCAGTAGTCCAGCAGGGGAGAAAGTTGGCAGGGCTGACAACACTGCTTGGAATTATTTCAGTCCAGCAGAAGCAATGTTGTCAGCTCACTGGCCTTCTGCCAGATCAACAGGTATTTTTCTATACTTGCAGTATTTTTAAAGAGAGAAAACGTAGGGAAAAGTGTATGTCTTGGAGACACACACTGAATATGTTTTTTTTTTTTTGCTGGAGAAGACTGTACTAAAGAAGAGGCTTAAACAAAGGTCTCCAATGTTACAGAACAATTACAGTTGGATGTGACTATCTACTACTAGTATCTACCATTGCCTGGGTAATTGAAAACCTTCAAATTCAAGGTCATAGTGTATCTAAACCCAAAAAGAAAAATGTCATATGATACAGCTTAACAGTTTTTAGATGAAGTGGCTGCATTAGTTTTCTTTTTTTCAGGCTTTTCTCTGTTTATTTTCACCTGGTGAATAACAACTTCCTGTCCTTGGGTGGCTACATTTTTGCCTTTTTTTTTTTTTTAACAATAGATCTTTATTAAGATTTTTTATAATGCATAACAAGTATAATACATTGTTGCCTTTATCTATGGAGGCAGACAGAGTTATCATCCAGGCTGGACTTCCACCATGTCTCCCTTTGTTATGTCTATTACATTCGAGGTACAGGGAATATTACACTTGTGTTTTGGGGTTTAGATACAAATAGCCATTTGCCATCGCATATCTTTGCAATTACATTGAAAAGTACCAATTTTTAAAGTGATCTTTGATGGATGCAAGATCTGCTTCTGGCCTAAATGATGCTTCACTTTTTCATATTAATTCGAAAACCTTGATTGAAATTGCCACAAAAATACAACCATAGGCTAGAGGTGTGTCTCCTTGAGCACATAGTGCCACCTACTGGACAGTCAGTGCCTAGCAAGTTGTACTAACTTGACAAATGTACTACGGTTACAGTACAAAAAAAAATGTATGTGGGCACGGATTCAAGCATGGTAGCCAAGCCACGTTTGGCTCAGGGAATAGTGCAGCACATGCACAGCAAAAACAAAACACATCTATGCCAAAGGCGTGAGTGAGATACCAGGCCCAGGGCTAGTATTCATCAGCCCTGGTGATGATAACATGATAGTGGTGATGCTGATGGACTCTTTTAGGAGGGTTTTCAAGAATTCTTGGCCATCTGGTATAAATCATAATGCCTCCAGTGTGACATCCTAGTCTAGACTAAAACAAATGAACATATATGTAAAAATGTTAACAATTTTAGGGTATTTTTTGCCTTACACCATATAGTTTATACCTGTAATTTTTTTACATGTTCATTTTTTTCATTTTGAGAAAATATAAATCAAAATTCCAACCAAAATCTAGGTTAGGGAGGAGTGGGGTAGTAGGGTTCAGCCCCTCAGTTGCACATTTACTGCCTTCTTTTACTTTGCCCTATAGTAGATCAGGATTAGAAATATATAGGCTTCTGTTCTTGCAGGGGACATAAAGTTCTTAGCCAAGGAGGAACTGACGTATCTAGATAAGTAATGGGGAGGAAGGCATCAACCTGTCCTGACCTACAATAGTTTATTGTATGAATTAGTATGGAAAGAAGTTGAGTACATGTAGCCACTTCCTTTCATGCCACTGCAATGATCCTTCCAGCCATTCCTGATCAGTGAGACTAATTATATGTGCCCTTACAGACCGTCATTAGGTCAGTTTGGCCTACTTTTAAAACAGGCTCACACCATTTTCCAGACCAGATCTGGGCCAGAAAATGGTGTGAACCTGCCCGCAGTTCTAGTGCATTCCAGACCAGACAAAATGAGACATGCAGTATTTTTCTGGTCTAGTCTGGAACGGACTGCACTGGTGTGAACAGAGGCCAGACACTGCATAGGGATACATTAGGATGCATTTTGGATCTAGTCTGGTCTCGTCTGGTTTGCAGATGATCTGGATGTGGTGTGAATGGGTGGGCCCTGAGTGTGACCAACTTCACCAACTGGTGACAGGTTTCCCCCTCATGCATTAGGAAATGGTCAGGTAAATAGCCTTACAGAAGTTATAACCCGTCTACAATGAAACCAAAACAAAACCAAAAAAGAAGGAAGATCTGGCTGGAGTTGATCTTTAAACATTCCATAAATGTGGGTATCTGATTGCTTCTGTCCAGAAAACTGCCCTCTTTTTATCAAACATGTTCATTCTCTATTCTATTAAGGTAGCTTTCTCCATTACTATCTAGGGGTCTATGACAAAGAGTACAGACAAAACAATCTTAACCAGCCAATCACTTGAGGCTTCCCTAGACTCACGATACATAGTACAAACACCGATTTTAAAACATATTTGCTCACATAGTGTAACAATACCTATTCTTGTCTACCTGCTAAATTACAAAGTTACAAGAACTTACAAAGTTGACTGACACTGAATATTTGTAAATGTTGTAAAATGGTGCAATACTGACCTCTAGTGTCCATTTTGGTGTATTACAGATATAGGTCAAATCTGTATTCTATGACTGGCCACACACTGAGGTGCAGGCATACTGTGATGGTAAGTAGTGGTGCCAGTGTTCCATGTTTGCACCTTTGGCTCCCAAGTGGCTTCAGCAGCTAAGCTCCAGGTTTGTTCCTAAGCAAACCCTCAAATCCAGAAATCCCAGCTCATGAGCTGCTCCAACACTCCCAGCTCTGACTCCAGAGCTGCTCCTACATCCCCAGCCCCGGCTCCAGAGCTGCTCCAACACTCCTAGCTCCCAGCACGGTCTCCAGAGCTCCTCCAACACCCCCAACTTCAGCTCCAGAGCTGCTCCAACACACCCAGGTACCAGCTCTGGCTCAAGAGCTGCCCCAACATCCCCAGCACCAGCTCCAGAGATGCTCCAACATCCCCAGCACCAGCTCCAGAGCTGCTCCAACACCCCCAGCTTCAGCTCCAGAGCTGCTCTACAATCTACTGCTCCAACTCCAAAATGATTTAGAGCATCTCTGCTCAGCTACTGCTTACAAAGAGGTACAAACTGCATAGCTTTTCTTGAACATCCCCAGTTTGGCTCCAGCGCTGCTCCAACACCCCCAGCTTCAACTTCAAAACTGCTCCAACACCCCCAGCTACCAGCTCTGGCTCAAGGGCTGCTCCAACACCCCCAGCACCAGAGCTGCTCCAACACCTCTAGCACCAGCTCCAGAGCTGCTCCAGCCCCCCCAGCTTCAGCTCCAGAGCTGCTCTAGAATCACCTGCTCCAGCTCCAAAATGATTTAGAGCATTTCTGCTCAGCTACTGCGCCCAAAGAGATACAAACTGCAATGCTTTTCTTGAATAATTTAAATAAAATAACAAATAAGTGCTTCAGCAATACTCCGGGGATCACCATATGAAAATACTTACTGTTCAGTAAAATCATCTTATTTGTGTTAGGCAATCATCCTTCTAATGGCCACTTGAGCTGTAGTGACAGGGGGGCATCATTGATTTAAGCATAGCATGTGTATAGAAGAGGTTCCCAACACTAACTGGCGAATTATTTAGGTTGCAGGAGGGAATGTTATTGGCCATTCCTGCCCATGTTGGGGGACTGGAGTTCTACTTAATTATATCTAGGGGGGGGGGGGCAATTACTGATCTTGAACTTGCTTTATTGGTGGGTTTTACCCTGTCAGTGGTTGAATAGTACCTACCTAATGTCCTCTGGATCCCGTGGTAAGTCAGATGCCAGTAAGGAATTTATGATTTGGACAGGTGGTCAGGTGCAGTTTAGTGTTCACAGTTTGCCTGTGACTGGCACAAGTTTGTGCTCAAACTAAAACTGTTTATTGTTATGACCAAATAAGTATGAGGTCAATTGATTCAGTAAAGCAATGGTCTTGTCCATTCAAGGGATGGAGTCTTTACTTTTTTATGAATGATCATGTCATTGTTCATGTCTTTTAATCAATTAGAAAATCTCCACAGGGGGGAGATTACTCATTCGTCACTGTCCCTGTGACACCAGGACAACAAAAACCTAGGAACTTTTAGAACACATTGGGCCTAATAACCTATCAGTGGTGTGACAATGAAATAGTGCAGATTGCGATACTAGTCCAACAAATAAACAATGGTTCACAAAGCATGTTGGTGAATGCGACGTGTATCAGAAATAGGTAAATCCAATTTGAAGCCCCTGCAGCTAAAGAGGAGATAGCTGTCACTTATTGATGTATAGCAAGTGGCATGATTTCAATCCAGAAGAGTTCCCAGTTTTGTAGTTTGGTGCCACTTTTAACATTGGCCCATGTGTGCTTTATGGTACACACAGGCTTGGGTGAGTTATGCAGCGCTGTTATCCCCCTCAGAACAGTGTGTGGATTTACCCCAGAGTTGGCAAGTATATTTTATACCCCTTGCTCTAGAAATGTTTTTTTCCAAACATACATGAAGACCAAAATAAAGAGCACAATCTTACCAGATGACGGTAGGGAATCAATAAACTCATAAACACATTCTTCCATCTCATTAACACTGGAAAATGGATGATTAGACCACACAGCTGCCGTTATAAGTGGACACTTCTCTATGATGTTTCCAAATACATCCAAAAACTCCTCATAACTCATGGCGTTTACAGCCTGCATAGTCATTCTGATAGTCCAACACAGAGAAAACAGATATGTGATTACAGAACGTGCAGGCCAGTACAGACAGGTTTACGAATTTAGTTAATAAGTTCAATTTTAACTGATTACTGAACCGTGAGGGCAGTGACCTCAAACTGAAGTTCTTTGCTTTTCACTGAAGAATCTCATCTACTAAAAAAGCGTGAATTTAATAAAGAATTTTAACTGAAAAAGGAAACTTGATACCAAGCTGTTCAATGGTTCACACCAGCCGCCCTACGCTCACCCGACCTGAACGTTCGTACGGGTGCAGGTGTCCCTGCTCGGACGCAGACAGGATCCACCCTGTCAGCGCACGAGTACAGACACCCGCACGGACGTCCAGTTCGGGTGAGCATAGGGCGGCGTACGGCTGTGTACTCCCATAGAGAAGGACAGGCTGCTGCATACAAATCACACGCAGCACCTGTCCTTCCCGGGATCTGCCTGATACGGCCATGCAGGCAGCACGGATCTGTACGGGCTGGCCGTTACCTGTGTGAATGAGGGCTTAAAGTTTTCATGCCCAAAGTTCAGTTTTAAGGGCCCATTCACACCATGTCCGGATCATCTCCAGACCAGACCAGATTGTTTCCGGACCCAAAAATGTATCCTAATGTATCCCTGTGCTATTTCTGGCCTCTGTTCACACCAGCGCAGTCTGTTCCAGACCAGAGCAGAAAAATACTGCTTGTCTTATTTTGTCTGGTCTGGAATGCACTGGAACACATAGAAACGCATCAAAAACGCATACAAACACACTGGATTGCACTGGAATGCACTTGTAAGACCATTTTAAGCGGAAAAAATTAAAAACACAGCAAAATCCTGGCAAAACGCAATGCACTGCGTTCGCGATCTGGTCCACAAAATGGTGTGAACCGGCCCTAAATAAACTAAAAAAGAAGCATAATTCCAATAACAGCAGTTACAGTGAAGTTATTTTTACTACTACAACTGTTACACGTGTATCAAAATTCTCTTAAAGTGACATTAAAGGATGAAAAAAAATGTCCCTCCCCCCCATGTTGATGTCAGCACTTACCTTAAATGATGTCTCTTAATCCGATCTTCTTCTTCTTTCCCCATGTTTTCATCTGTCCCTCCAGCGTTGCTGAGGGTCTCAGATCCAGCGCTGACTCCTCTCTGCTTGCTGGCACTTCTGATCCCATGGTGTCTGCATGCGGGTGAGTTTAAACCGCTGTTAAAGCGTTTTTTTGTTTTTTTAAAACTGTTTGCCTATATCTATTGCTTGCTAGCAGTAGATATAGGCAAAAAAACGGGAGGGTTTAGAACCCCTTTAAATGACTATAAACTGGCAAAAATATAAAATTGTGATCATGTCCTCACATAGTTTATGGCCTAGCTTTAAACTTTTTGGGGTGTTTGTAAATGTATTTTATTTAACATTACTTGTTTTTAACTTCTTTTTTTTTTAACTTAACCTCATTGCCATCACAAAGGGAGGCTAACAAGGCCCCCCCCCCCCCCCCCCACATACCAACACTCAA